TGTTACCCATCTGAATTTCATCTTTGGAAAAATTGCCTGTTCACCTCACCCCAATTAGAATGGCACTCATTATAGAAATTAATAAAACAAATAAATGATGGTGAGGATGTGGGGGAAAAATGTTTTCTAACCTACTTTTGTGTCAATGCAAACTAATATAGTTATTGTGGAAGACAGTATGGAGAATTCTCAGAAAGCTGAAAATAGTTGTACCATATGACCCAGCCATCTCACTCCTGGGAATTTATCCAAATGAAATGAAAGCATCATAGGAAAGAGTTATCTGTACTGTGATGTTTATTGCAGCTCAGTTCATAATAGCTAAGATATGGAATCATATGTGTGTATGTATATATATATATATATATATAGACACACTGTGGAATATTACTCAGTCATAAAAAAGAATGAAATCCTATCTTTCACAACAAAAATGGAGGCAACTGGAAACCATTATACTTAGTGAAATAAGCCAGTCCCCAAAAGACAAATACCACATGTTTTCCCTGATCTGTAGTGACTAGTAGAGTACAAAAAAATGATGGATAAGAGCAAAATTGACATTTTGAGAATTGATTACTATTTATAGTGCTTGTCTATACTGTTGTAGAACAGTGTTTTTTAATTCTTATTATTTTTGAATTCTTAATTAGTGAAGGGATACTCATGATTATAAAATAAACTGAAAGTATGTCATTGCAAAAATTAAAAGAAAGAAAAAGAAGAGCAAGGGTGGTAGCATGGGCAGCATGGAAGATAGAGTGGGGTGCATCATTATGCCTCTAAATCTATATATATGAAGTATGTGACATTTTTTCACTTTATATAAATTTTTTAAAAAAACAAAAAACCCAACAACTCAATTCTACTTATTTAGTAGAATTTAATAATGTTAATGATTTCTTGTATAAATGGGCAGATGAAGACATATACACAGGGGCCTGCACTGTGGCATAGCAGGTAAAGCCTCTGCCTGCAGTGCCGGCATCCCATATGGGTGCTGGTTCGAGTTTCAGCTGCTCCACTTTCAATCCAGCTCTCTGCTATGGCTTGGGTAAGCGGCAGAAGATGGTCCAAGTGCTTGGGCCCTGGCACCGGTGTGGGAGACTGGGAAGAAGATCCTGGTTCCTGGCTTCGGATAGGCAGAGCTCCGGCCATTGAGGCCATCTGGGGAGTGAATTAGCAGGTAGAAGAACTCTCTGTCTCTGTCTCTGTCTTTTTCTCTCTCTGCCTCTCCTTCTCTCTGTGTGTAACTCTTTCAAATAAATAAATAAATCTTTTATAAAAAGACATAAACATAGGAATCTACATTTAATGACTTTAAAATGTGTCTCCACTAGATAACCAGAAAATAGCCTAAGAGTCACCTTTAACTTCACCCTGTTTCCTTGTTAGCAGATTTCTTCACTGAAGCATTATAGAAGAATCTGTTATTTCTATAGAACTATGAGGGCTCCAGTGGGGACCTTCCTCACAAAGAAAACTGTCATAGATAAATAAAATCAGTAAAATGTCCAATTCACTAAAAAATGTTTAATTAAATTACTGTTACATTCTCTTTGCCTTTAATATCTCCTGTTCTATCCAGGAGTCCTTTTACTAAGCTTCAATGAATGGGGAGATACAACAGCATCAATAAGGAGAACTGTCCTCCCCCTTTCATAGGCAATAAAGATGTGCTGATCTAAAGGAAACATGCAGATTACAATCAAGTAACCTAGACACCTCTACTTATCTCAAATCTGAATCATTTTATATTGATAATTATAAGGTAACAAGTGTAAGGTAAATAAATAGATGATATACCAAGCGAAAAAAATGCCTAATCTCTCTACTTGTTGAATATTATGGTCAGTGGTGAATTAAGCCTGTGATTATAGAGTAGATTAAAATTATGTCACTGCAAAAATTAAAGAAAAATAGTAAGGAAAGGAAGCAGGGTGATAGAGGGGGGAGGGAGGAAAGTTGGTTATCTTCTTAGAACTGTACTCATGAAATCTGTTCTCTTTATATTAATAAAAATTAAAAACAAAAATAGAATTGTCCAAAGGGATATAGAAAAACAAGATTTCTGTAGAACTGAGAATTTTATTCTGGAAAATGAATTTTGTACCCTATAATTTATTCCTCCCTGTGGTCGTTCCCCTTAAAATATAAATGAAGTTTCTTCTAAGTGGAGTCTCAATCATTTCCCCAAACTTTTGGCTGTAGCCTAGAACTTTCTTAAGCAGAAGGTTTGCTGGTTTTACTCCAAAATCTCAAATGACACTGTGGTTTATGTTTGTATTCTTGTTCTTTAGCCATTTCCAAGAAAAGAACATAAGAGACACAGGGAATAAAACTGAGCCCAACCCAGTGAGTCAAGCCATCCAGACCTGCAACTGGAAACAGTCAGGCAACTGAGTCCTATCTTTGCCATCCATCTCCCAGCATTCTTCTTTGTTATACTACGTTATTATGGCAAAGTGACTTGACACATTCATAAATTAAAGTGAGAAAAAGTGTATTCTTCCTATTTATGATTCTTTATTCATTATTATTATTAAAGTCAACCTACCCGTATCTTACTGGTTGACAGAATATTATATCTCATAAGTTCATTCTAGGCTAGTCACTGATTTACCTGCTTCCTTGCTATTAAGTTAACAATTGCGTTGACTTTCAAAGCCTATCCTCCAAATGCCTTTTCTCTAATGTGTTGGAGTCATCAATAACTATATGACTTCATCTGTAAACATGTGGGGTTAAATTAGGTCACTGACATATGAAATTTTCTTTATGGCCCACAATTCCAAGGAGAAATGTTGAGAGGACCATGGGTTGGAGGTGAGGAGGAGGAAAGCTAAATAATTAGGGTGTTGGACCTCTCTGTCAGCAAAGCAAACTCTGCTTTAATTCCTTTTAGATATTGAGACTTCATTTGGACTATCAGTTCCACTCTTAAAACTACTTAAAAACTCCTGGACAAAATATTGATAGTCTTTTTAGGCTGCAGTCATTACATTATTACATTTCTTCTGATTGCTCCCTTTCCTTATCTTTCTGAGGGTGTTTCAAAAATTTTGTGGAAAAACGGAATGAAAAGATAAGTTTAATTTTATGTAAAAATTTAATTCCATTCATAATTTTTCATAATATGCATTTTTCATCAACTTTTCAAAGACCCCTTATATTACTGTGACCTTAATTTAAGAGGCTATTGCCTAAACTCCTATACTAACTAGACTACTTGCTTGTAGTTATGAATTCTATCATTTCACTGTCTTGCTCAAAATTAAAGTAAACCTAGCTCTAATGTGGGGTCTCAAGTTTCTGCCTATCTTTTCATTCCCATTTCCTGCCTTGTTTCCCTTAACTCTTTTCACACTGGCATAAAACACATTCACCACTTTCTAATTCAGAGTCTTCTCACATGCTAATCCCTCCTCTTGGAATGTTCTTCCACATTTCCTTCAAATATCAACTTGTTCCCACCCTTCACTCTGGGTTTGAAGTTTCTCAATGAGGCTTTCTCTGATCACTCAAACTACAGGAGGCCCTGCCTGCCTCCCATTATTCTCTGATTGTATGCTATTCTTTTCTTTGTACTTATGATTTACCATTATAGAAACATTTGTTGGTTGTTTATATGCTCTGACTTTCTACTAAGTATGAGCTCTATGTGATCATGGGCCACATTGGTTTAATTCTATATTCCCAGGCGCCAAAGCAATACCTTGCTCATAGCATATGTTTAATAATAAATGAATAAACAAATGATCTGCTTAGCTTTTATCAACATGTTCTTTTTTCACCATCTTTCCATACCATATATCATTTCCCTATGATGTATGATCCCTGCTATGCTTATATAGCTTATTACCCTCCTTAATCTATGGATGATGTTCCTTAAATGCATATACATCAGAATTTTCTCTCAGCTTGCCTCAGTCATGGTACTTCCCTCTTCTTATTCTTTTTGCATGCCAGTGGTCATTATTTGGTCTGGTTTTTAGTGATTATCATCAGGCTGACTCCAAATATTAGGATTACAGTATGTTCAGAGTAGAGTTAACAATAGTATTATTCAACAAGTGAGATTAGACAGCTGTGGAAGAAATACTCCATGACATTTCAATGAGGTGACTGAGGAGTTTGGGGAACACCAGATTCCAAGAAAGGTGATCAGAAAAACAATGAAAAAAGTTTATATTAGCTAATTGCACTACCTTTTGATGGAAAAATAAATAAGTACATGGTTTGTGTATAGTTTAGAAAATAAAAACACAATGAATAAAAAAGTGGCATTTTTTTTTTCATCAAAGCTCAGAAGGCCGAGATCTGACAAACAGTAATAGTACAATCACTAGGAAAATGATTGATCAAAAATTCTCAGAAAACTTTGAACTACCCAAGAGGGCACTCTGAGAGTTAGCATGAAACTATTGGCTCTGGAAAGAGAATTTTCTCTGGAAATGAAAAGCTGGCATTTTGGGTTAAGCAATGGTCTTTGGTGAGTTTGTTTGGTATGAGTCAACTTACAAAAATTCAATCTATTCTGGGTTTACTGAAAACGCTCCTTTCCTATTCAGAAACACCAAGATCCATATCCTAAACCACAATCCAGAAAGAATACACTCTGGCCCATGCAGTCCATGGCCTTTCTTGGCTGCCAATTCTATTTTGCCTGGTTTCCCTTCTCATTCTTGTATGAACCACACTTTATTAATATTTGCTATTATTATCTCTCTGTTGATGATTGCATAATGTACACTTATGAGTACACAAACACACAAAATGGAACAAGGAATAATGAGCATTCTGGTGCCCTGGGCAGAATAAAGATACAAACCTATGACCTCAGTTTACATTCTTCTGGGTGTGGCCCTAGAGTTTCCCTTTTATCCTATCTATAAATTGTGACAATGTCTTCACAGGTTGTTTGGGGGATGATCAGTTACTTGCTGTAGAAGGATGTGAAACAATGAATGAAGGAAAGAAAACAACAAAAATGTCCAAACCTGGAACTGAAATCTTCCCCACAGTTGGATGCTTCATCTCCATGATGAGGCCATTATGTAGCACCTTAAGAACAGAAAGAAAAATAATTTACAAAATAAAACCACCTTCTGTATCAAGGTATATAAATAGTCATTGATTTGAGTCAATAGTGATGGAAGATACAGCAAAACATAGCTCTTTAAAATTTTAATTGAAAGTAATGTCTCTTGTTAATGTTTTCATGTTAATGTTTGACTTCATCAAGAAAAAACAAAAAACTATAGAAGACTCAAGGACTAAAAAAATATTTGCTATAAAACCTTCCTATTCTTAAAAATGTTGTTAGTTCCTGAATATAGCAAATGATTTTCCCTTTTCATCTATATGTGCTCTTCTAATAATAGAGTTCAGTCTCTTCTTGCAATACCTCTCTTCAGAAATTAGCTAAAGTCAACTGCAGAAAGGCAGGGGTTGGGGGAGAACTAGAACATGGAATAGGGGAAATTGCTAAGGTGGTCCAAGGGCCCTTTGCACTCTATTCAGTGGAAGGTGGAGGAAATCCATTCAAAATGAAGGGTGAATCAAAATGTCCAGAAGGCCCAGTCACTGTTGCAGGTGGAAGAATTAACAATTGCTTCGAGGAGCAAAGGAATAGAGCCAAGTGACAAGGATCCAGGATGAGGCCCAGGTCAGGGGACTGAACAGAGAAACTGAAACAAAGGATATTTTGCAGAGTAGTTAGGACCTTAGTCATAAGATTAGGCTTCAAATATAGGACCCCAGTATCCTGTAGTGTTAAAACAAAAAACAACAGAGAAAAACCAAAAGACTTCATCCTAAATGGGTGATTACGTTCAGATGTGGTAAGATCAAGATAAGTATCTAGGAGCCCATCAAGAACAAAGGCAGACTTGGCTTGGGGTTAAGACCTAAGTCCAATTACTAGTATGGGCTCCCTAATATCTCACAACTAGCAATATGTGACTAGTAAGAGCTACTTAAAGCCCTGCCAGATGGAGGCTGGAATTTTCCCCAGGAGATAGGCAGGAAACACAATCTTTCAGAGATCAAATGTCCTCCAATTACAGGTAGAGGATGAGATGAGGACATGGAACCAGATTCTGGAATGTAAAAGCTGAATTGCTAGAAGCAAAATGTTCTATGGTACACAGATGAAAATGATAAACTTTTTAAACAACTGGAGGCTACCTGAGAATACTGTGTCAAAGACTCCAACATCCACTACTGAATTCTCCTTCTAAATTGAGTTTCATCTGTACCATCTACCACTTGTAGATCCCTTCTTCCTGTTCTGTATATGAATTTAAAGAAGTGTTTCAATGGCACAGTAAACTTACAGACCACAATTTCCTCACAACATCCCAAGAAGTGGCAGTTGTAAGGATTCAACAACATTTTGAACATCAGGTAAAAGCAAGAGTCTTACCATAATCTATGCACAAAGAAAAGAGCATGGAATAGAGGGAATAATAAAAATAGTTTCTCACTTGGAAAAGTCAGGGAAAGACATCAAATTTCTTAGGTCTTATCTATTTCTAGTGAGCATTTAGGTCACACTAAGGAATAAATCATCCATAAGATAACTTCAAGGGTGACTTTTTAAGTTTAGAACTACAATTCTGCTATTGCCGAATGGCCTGGTTTCAACTGTTTGTTGGGAACAGTCACCACCTTTTGGACTGTGCTCTTTAAACTGTCAACCTCCCTCACTGAAGATGATGCCACACCATATGGAGATCCCTTGTAGGGATGCCTTGCCTCTGTTTTGGGATCACCAGGTTTATACTCAAGAGCTGGCCAGAGAAAATTCTCGCCAGTGTTAGAACTGTGCTATAATTTAATCCTGGTGTGGCTCGTTCTTCAGCACCCACCCAGCACAGCCTCCTCCTGTGTGGGGGTGGGGGCTAAATACCAGCGGGAGGTGCTAAATCTCAGTTCTACTGAGGACAGGAACAAAAATACTGAGCTAAATTTCACTCGAAACAATTATCTGCACACTGAATCATTCTTCTCTTCTCCTATCTCCATTGCCCTCCTGACTACCTCTTTGTAATAACACTGCAGTGCTACTCACAAAAGACAAAAGCGAGTGTTCTTAGCTAAATATAACTTAACTGATAGTATTGAAATTAACACTGAATTTTAATCATGTAGTAAATGTTAAGTGTCAAACGTGAAAGGGTAGTTGGTAAAGGTCAAGGGACATATGTCAAAGTTTTGTGAAGCAAAAGCTAGCAGTTGACTGAATTTTCTCACGGAAGCAAGCTTATGGAGTCGACTTTGTCCCTCTCCACCCCCCAACCCACACACACACCAACTGCTGTCTCTATATATTTCCATTTGGGAACTTCGACCTTATTTATTCCTTTGCACTGAAGACCATTTGGTTTTAAGCAATATATATAATTCTGTGTCAGAAGAAGTTAACCACAGTTTCTTGTTTTCTGTAGCTTTTGTAAAATCATGAGGTGATTGGAATAGTTTGATTCCCCACCTTCAGAAAGAACCAACTCATTTCCCTGCTTTGATGCCACCCACCTTTTGATATAAAGTCTAAAGTGAAAGATATTCCATAGGGTTTCTTCATTAATCAGGTCAAATTATCCCAGGGAACAACTGGGCTGTGGCAGTGCTGTCCCAGGAAACTTTGCGTAATGACTCAAAATCTTGGAAAACGCTCCATGTCTGGTTCTGGGACAAATCCTGCTGTTTAGTAACATATTCAAGGAACTCAGAACCTGGGACGTCTGTCTGAATTCTGACATAAATCTCTTGCCTTGCTTAGGCATACTGTCTCATCCACACTTCATTGAAAATGGGAGAGCTACCTTTTACCACCACTTGTGTAACATTTCTTTGAGAATTGTTACCACGTATTCCCTTTGTCTTCTCATCAAGCCTCAATACCCCAGTCTCTACATGTTTACCTAAATATTCAAAGTGTCTCCTTTTCTTTTTAAAAATTATTTTAAATTAAAAGAATTTAACAGATACGTGTGTGTGTGTGTGTGTATGGTGTTTCATTACATGTATACAACGAGTAATGTCCAATTGGGGTAAATATACTTATCCTTTCCACCATTTTCTGAACACAAACAGGGAAATGGGCATTGGATCTTCAAGGAACTTCAACTATAATTTTCCCCTAAGGAGAATTCCATGCCTTTAACCTCAGATTGTCCATTCAGAGCATTCTTAGGTACATATTGAGTTATGTCAAAATAAAACAGAAAATTGCCAGAGCTCTATAGTAAATCTTGTTCATTTGGCAACGTCCCTGCCCTGTCTTTTACTGTTTTCACCTTCTTTTAACTTATTTTATGCTTCTTAGATCTTTCATGGTTTGGTAGCTTTTCTGCATTTCATTTATTCTTGAAATTTCAAAAGCCTATTCTTGACAAGAATAGAATTGTAGATAGTGCACTAACCTCTTTAGCAAAGTATCAGGCCTATTTAACATAAGGACTCTCTTTCTTTCTCAAGAGTTTTACAGATTGACAGCCTAATGATAGAGTCAAATGGTAATGTATTAATGATGGGGGGCTGGGGTGAGGAGAGAGGGAGTAAAATGTATACTTTAAAGTGGTGTGGGAAATACAATTTTAAGTGAAAGTAAGAAAGTTTTTGACAAATTCTTGTGTCAGGAATGGCCGGGAGAAAAGTCTGTGATGTAGCAATAGAATAATCAAAGACAGTGACAACAACAGCAGCAACAACCTGATATGCTATATATATAGATAGTGAAAATCTTTATTTAAGCAAGAGATCTGGGCCAGCAGAAGTAGCAAGTGGAGAGACTGCGAACAATACCAGCATTGAACGACGGGCAACCTAGCTTTTACACTTACCAAAATCAAGGTGATACTTCCAATGACGTTAGTAACGATGCATAAACAAAAACTGACCTACTCATTCACTGTAATTAGTAATATGACCTATTCATTCAATTCTATATACATTCTGGAGCACTTACATAATACACACCATGGGGGAGCTGTAAAAAGTGAAAAAAAAGGTGAATGAATTTGCATTAAAAGTGCTTGTAATTGAAGAGAAGTTAAAAAATAAAAGACCCGAGCCAAGTTTAATGGTTCAATTATTAATGAAGGATCAATATCCAATAAGGAGCAAATAAGTAACTCTGCATATCTTGGAATGAAATTAAATGACCTGGCCAAGGAAATCAGTAAAGACTATACAACAAAGATGATATGAAAATTAAGCGCCAAAGTTAACAACAAAAATGATAAATGTAGTAACAGTAGCTATTGCTCAATGAAACTCCTTAAGAATCAAGCATTGTGTCAGGAACTAAAAGGTTGTGCATTAAATTCTCTCATTGACCAGACTAGGCAGGAAACTACTATCAACTTCACGTCTACTGATAGGTAATGGGAGTCTGAAGAGTTTAATTTTCCCCTAAGATTTCACAATTAGGAGCTGGCATTGGATTATAATTTAGATGTGTCTGATCTTCACTGTTTAGTTAAGTTCCTGGCAGCAGGAGACTTAAGTGAAAGAAAAAATGGACATGCATAACTTGATTTACCACGAAAACAACTAGCTGACATGGTCCATTCTGTAAAACTAATTAGTCCATTCAGCAGGGAAAGAAAAACAGCCAAACGGATTACATGGCACCATGAAGTCCAATCAGTTAATAAACTGAACTGCCCTCGTGTAGGTAGCCAGGGATATTCTGGCACGTCAGACACAAAGGGTGTGAAAAGAAGAATAGGAAAGATTTGAGTCCAGAACTGCTCAGGTCTTGAAGGGCAGAGATCCAGCAGATGAGTGTGGGCAAGGTACTTAGAGCTGTGAGGCTCAGCATTGTCATCAGCAAGAGGGTATAATACCACCTCTGAGGAGCTGATGAGGATGGAGACGATGACTGTAAGCAAGCACTGGGCGTATGCCAGGGAACAGAGTGAGCTCTCAAGAAACAGCAACCCTTTTCACCACTGCCAACAGATGGAATACAAACCCTAGCTCGAACCAAGTACCAGATGTGTGGCTCTGGGGCACATTCATTCACACAAGGAGCATATATCAAATGCATGAAT